GAGCAGGGCGGGCGGTGCTGCCCGCGGGCTGCCGGCACGGCGGCTGGGAGGGGCGGCAGCGGTCCCGGGCGCTGCGGGAGCTGCCCTGGGGCCGGCAGCGGGCGGGAGCGACCCCGGGGCGACGGGCCAGCGGAGGCACCGCCGGTGCCGTTTACCGCAAGGAGGGCGGTTGCGGTTTAGGGAAGCGGGGCTCGGCTCCTACCGCGGCGGACATCGCTTCTTCGCCAAACCCGCCGTGCCAAAGCACCGCCGCGCTGCTGTCGTGACATGTGCGCCTCCTGAGCAGCCACTCGGCTGCCTCGACGGGAGCTGCGGCGCGGCGGGTCTGCGCCTCCCGCGCAGCTCGGTGGAACCGACAAGCGTATTTTCCGCGTCTCCTTCGCTGCGCTCAGCTCCCCAGGGACGGGTGGGAGCCCTTTAATATTTGCTGTGGCCGTTTGTATATTTTTTTTCCCTATCTTGAGATTATAAATCATTTATTTTGTTTCCTAATGAGCTAAGAATTTAAACAAACGATTTTATTTTATATCAAGATAAATTTACAGGGCAAATTATGCATTCTGGTTCCACTGTGCTTGGAACAAAGGTTTACACTTTTTGCAAAGGTGTGAATTAATCACTTCACCCATCTTTTGTTTTGTTTAATCCCTGTCGGCTACACTGAGGTGGGCACATTGCAACTGGGGCAGCATTCGGCACCAAGAACGGCATTTTCCAGTGTTGTGTCTCTAACTGTCGGTAATGTAATTTTTGGAATATTCGGAAATTGAAATTCATGATTGTGGGAATTAAAATTAAATTCGCATGAGAATACAAGGATTTGGTTTCAGGCGATCGATAGCATATTTGCAGCACAATGTCGTTTGCTCGGACCCGTTAACATATGTTTTGAAGAATGAATGAGAACGTTTTGTACCGGGCTTTCCTCTTGGGCGATTTTGGTAACCGATGAGCTTTGTGCTATGAGGAATTGTTACCGTAGGGGTTACACTGAGCACAACCAGCTCCCTCCCTCAAGCAGCCCTCAACAATGAAACAAAGACAATCGATCCCCTTCAATTCCATTTATTCAGATCGTATTATTCTCGTAGTTTGGAATTCAACATAATACAGCATATTGCACTTACCAGAGAGCAGCACGAGAGAGAGAAAAAAAAAAAAGTACAATACTTCAGTTTATTCCCAAGGAAGAATAAGACGTTGTGATAGTTGTTGCTCTTCTTAAATATATGAAACCAACTGAAAATCTAAGTATATGTACACAAGATTTACTAAGTCCCTGAATATGCATTTGAATTTTTACACAGACTTTTTTGCTTTTCTTATATTTTTACAGAGATATACAGTATGTCACACACAGTTTCAGCTTGAGAAAACTTTGCACAATTATACCCCACCTGCGAGGCTGTTGTTGGTTTGGTTTTTTTTTGTTATTGGTGGGTTTTTTGTACAGATCCTCCCCCCACCCAATTTATGCCAATGATTATTCAGATAATTTTCTTTATGATTGTCCCCTCCATTCCCCATCCCCTCCGCCTTGCCAGAATGCTGAAGAAAATACCGATTAAAAATAAGTCTAGAAGAAGAAAGCCATTACATCATGACAAAGGTTAAACTGTATATATTGCACGTCGGTACAGAAACATAATGCAATAATACTTTCATCCCCCCCTTTTCCTCTCTCCCACACGCCCCTCCTTGCTCCTGGGGCTGGGCTGTGTGGGGGAACCTAACTGTACTCATAGTCCGATGAGTCTTCCTCGGACACCCCTGTCAGGTCTCTGCGGTAAGAGTCCATGCCATTCTCCTCCATCTCGCCCGCTGGCCGGAGGCTTTTGCTCATGCCTTTGCACTCCTCCATTTTGATGGTGTCGTAAAGTCCCTTAGGTCCTTCTTCAAGGAGGATGTTCCTCTCTGAGTGAGAGGGTTTCATTTGGCAGACGTTTTTGAGGAAGAGGAGGACAGGGGCATAAAGCACGTTGGCGAGCCCCATGCCCAGGTTGAGCTGTGCGAAGCCCATGGTGTGCACAATCTGGCCAGCCACGATGGGCCCCAGGGCGTATGCCACAGAGTAGGAGATGTCTGCGATGGCATAGACACTGCCGTAGACAGAGACGTGGCGCACGTCCACCAGAAAGGCCAGGGTGGGCAGCAGGGCCGTGTCCACCAGGGCAATGCCGAAGCAGATGCCGCAGAGGGGAATGATGACCTGCCCGAAATTCCTGCAGGCTGGCACCAGGCAGGAGCTGGCGCCAATGATGGCCATGCCCAGGGCCCCATAAAACCACTGGAGGTGGGGGTACGCGGCAGCCAGCCGGACGGTGACGTAGACGCCCAGCACGTGGGGGAAGAAGGCGGGCAGCCAGGTGAGGCCCACCTCCCACTCGCTGGCCCCCATGGAGTCCTTCATCCAGTTGGCGATGGTGGGCTCCAGGAAGGCCAGGGGAATGTTGCAGGTGGCCAGGGCCCCTGCCACCACGGCGATGTAGGGGTCCACCATGAGGCGGTGGATGGGGGTGCCGACGGGCATGTTGGCCCGCGCCCCGGTGGCGCAGGGCGGCGCCAGGGCCAGCAGCAGCAGCCCGTCGAGGAGGCAGACGCAGGCCAGCACCAGGAAGGGCACCCTCTTGCCGGCGAACTCGTAGAGGACGCCGCCGAAGGGGGGGGCGGCCAGGCTGCCGAAGGAGATGCAGGCCAGCGCCGTGCCCAGGGCGCGGCTCCGCGCCGGCTCCTCGGCGTAGCGGTCGGCGATGAGGGCGATGCCGGCCGTGTCGGCGAAGGCCGAGCCCAGCCCCTGCAGGCTGCGCGCCGCGAAGAGCGTCGCGTAGTTCTCCGCGAAGGCGAAGGTGGTGGTGGAGAGGAACATGACGGCCAGCCCGGCCAGCAGCGGCGCCTCGTAGCCCACGCGGTCGATGAGGGTGCCGCTGAGCGGGTTCACCAGCAGCTGCAGGATGGCTTTGGAGGCGAACAGCACCCCGATCTGCACGTCCTCGTTGCCCCCCGCGGTCGGCGGGTACCGCGCCGGCAGGAGGGTCCGGTTGCCGCCGCCGGCGCTCTCGTTGCCCCCCGCGCGCGCGGACGGGCCGGCGGTACCCCCCCCGCCACGCATGGCCGCGATGTAGTCGGGGATGATGGGCACGATGACCATGTAGAGCATGTTGTCCAGCAGCAGCGCCACGCACACGACCACCAGCAGCAGCCGCCGCTGCCGCCGCGCCTCCCCCATGGCGGTGCCCAGCCGTC